TTTACTTTGAGCTAAGTACCACTCCTTGTGGTCACATGTATCAAATTCAAACACAATAATACTTTTAGAACTATTCATTTTATGATTTGGTCAATTGAAGTCATGCTATGAAATTCCTTAGGGATACCATTTCTCTTCATGATATATTATATTTTTGACATTGAATCTATAATGTTGCAACTTTTGTAGAAAATGTTGAAATCTGCTGCTGACAAGTGTGACAAAATGTACCCCAAATGTAGGTAATTGATAAGGTATATAAAAATTAACAATAAAATATCTTGTGAGCAATGTTTTAAATTGCACAATCTTTCTATTATGCACAAATATGGTTGATGCAGTTAAAATTGCGGTGGCTGGAACTTTTATATTACAGCTGCAATTGTGCTTGTAGTTCAACTTGAAGTTATGATTATGAGGTTTATGTTCAAATAAATTGTTGCTCGCTCATCAGTTGTTAATTAATCATGATGATAATAACATGTTGCATCAATGTTCGATGAAATCGTGAATTACATTGTCTATTGTTCACAGACTTGCACTACACAACATAGATTCGAGCTTGTAATTCCATTGACATTTGATATCATAATAGTCCATAAAATGGTTAGGTTTCATTATGTTTCTAAAGTTAGTGCACAGTAAAGATGATATGACCTTTTCATTTTAAAATAATGAGAACAAATTTTGGTTATTGTAGGACGAAGCTAGATTAGTTGGTTAGCTTCATAACAAAAATAGGCAAATATACTTGGTTTTTATTGTAAAAATGATGGGAGGTTGCACGTGGCTAAATATATGCCCAATGAAACACTCACAAAACACCTTTTCCACTGTAATATCTTTTTTCATTGGTTATCGAGTTTGACATAGATTTTAGGGTTCATGTTTCTTTGATGCATTATCTTAATTGCATGGTTGATGTTGTATTTATGTCTATATCAGGGGACACACAACCGATGAAATGGGAAATGTGACTTGGAGTTATTATGCATCTTGCAGAAGCTCTAGAATACTGCACAAGCAACTGTATAGATTATGTTGAATTTGGTTGTGAGTTGCAAGCCTTAATTTCCAGTCTAATAATTTTGATCTTTTTTTGGTTGAATGGTATTTTTAGTTTTAAGGGTTCAATTTGATTATCAATTTGAGACTTACTTAGTGAAGGAAAATTGGCTTAAGATGTAAATTATCTAGAAGAAAGAGTGACTTTCATTATAACCTTTTATGTTATAAGCATGAGGCCATATAATAACTAAGTGTTTATGTTATAAGCATAAGGCCATAGAATAACTAAGACTTCTTTCCTCTTCGACGAATGCTTTTAATGTAGAGGTTCATGTCAACAGATTTTCTATGGAATATTATGAAAGGGGAGAGGTCAATGTTGGTTTTCATTTTATAGAAACGGTACAATGAAAATTGCAGCTGGATTCGTGAAATTTCAACCAGAATAGGCCAAAGTGTAAAGTTTTCTACAATTTTTATGGACAATTTGTTTTTATTGATGTTACAGGTTCCACAGTTCCTCACTGATCTTTCCCTCTTGAACATGAATGGGAAAGAAGTAATGAGGAAAATAATTAGTAAAAATGATCTTTTAAGATATGAGGGTATTACCATATATCAAACGAGTTGGAGTATTTTAACTCTAAAAGTTCTCAAAGAAAATGAAGGACCTTTAAATTTAGCTATGACACCTCTTAAGATCAGTAAAGATAAGAAACTTTATGGTACTTTTCTACCTGTTGGAGATATTAACCCTCCTTATGTTAAGGAAATGTAAGTGTTTAAATTTTCACTGTGACACAATAATACTTTTGATATTTTGAAGTTCTTAGATAGTTCATTCTGGCATTTTCATACTGATATTTTGCATTTGACATTATTTTTACAAAATTCTATTAAACTTTAGATTTATGTTTGCTCGTGATCACATGCAATCAATTGTGCTTTAAGATAAAGAATGGAAATTTGAGGAAGTTATACAGCCTAATTCAAAGCTCCCAATCAACATTGATGGCTTAGAAGTTGTCATTGTTGATTCAATAGGGAGTAGTGGCTTGGACTTGAAGGTATGAGTTTAAGCTAAGTATGGTTAGTTTCCTTTATAACCAATATTAGTTCTATTACCATAATTGTTGACTCACTACTTAATGCTTCTACATAGTGACCCCAGTGTGCCAGTTGTATACACTAAAACATTAGTGCTCTAATGCTCACTACTTGCATCAGCTATTGGTTTTGTCTATAAGAGTGTTATACCCCAAATTTGCCCTATCAATTCAATAGTTGCATTAGTAATGTGTTTCTAAGTTAAGAGTCATTGGTATTTAAAATTGTTTTGAATATCATTTCATGGGGGTCTTAAATTCATAAGAAGGTGTGTGTTATTTCAAAATGGACCATCAAAATCTGATGGCCCATTAAAAAATTTGGGATCATTTAAAAAATCCATTTCAAGTTATAAAGAGGAAGATCGCCGCCGTCAGGGGTTGCGATTAGGGTTTAGGTTATGTGTTTTTGTTGTTTAACAAGGGTGTGATTATAGAGACATAATTGCACACCCATCATAAGTGTGTGCACTCTCCCACACGCAAGTTAAACGAACCTCCCAAACATGCATAAATCTTAGGCCTGGGTCATCTCTAATCACACCCCTATTTTTTTCAATTTTACTACTACGTTAGAAAACACCCCCCCCCAGCGATGGTGGGCCAAGTCCAACATCTGGACTTGGACTCTTATATCACATGGTATATTTAAAAACATCTAATAAATCAAAAATTAACTTTTTCTTACTAACATAATTCAAACTTATATATTTTCAAAAAGGATTATGGAAATTTCTTTAATTAACTGTGAGCTTCGTCTAATAAATCCGCGATTTACAAACCCATACTTAGTACAAGGAGAATACGAGATATTTCCATAATCCATAAAAAATACCAACCAACTGTGAACTACAAATTTGGACTCTGATTCCTCATAAGAGGATACGTAGGCATACGACTAAAATCGTGGCGATTTACCCTAATAAAAATTAAAATCCTATTTCCTAAAGTCGTAATTCTAAACCCTAGTATCCAAATCCCCTGGGTGAAGAGTCAACTATAAGATTATCAACTAAAAGAGAATAACATTCATATCTTCTGTGATAATGCTTTTGCTATTTATTTGTCAATAAATCCCATTACATTCTAGGGCTTAACACATTGAGATTAAAATCATGTTTTAGTGCCCCTTCTGAATGTAGCAACGATCATCCTTATTCAAATGTGTCATGTTATACTTTTTTTTTTGGTTTTCAAGTTGTCGCTTGAGTCCTTTTTCGTTTCATTCTTGAAAATTAATTTGTTTAAGTATTTTATACTTCATCTCCTGTACCTTATTTAAACATCATATCCACTATTCATTTATCATATCATAAGCTTCCCTTTGTCTTTTCAAACCTTCACTTAAAAAGATCTTTTCTCTCCTTCAATTTTTCAACCTTAAACCAAGATATCTTCCAGAACATTCATGGGAAATGAAAACTTCTTGTTCACACTCTATGAGATGGTTGTTGACTTTGATGAACTTAAATAGCTAGGGTTTAATCTACAAGGTACTGCAACTTATAAACAATGGGTAAACTACTTTGACATGCTTTATGGACCCATTTACCCCAATCTTGTCAAAGATTTCTGTGTAAATGCTTCCATCAAGCAAACTGGACATGATTCTTCTGAAATCAAGTATGAAGTCTTTGGATTTCATATCATCATTACTCCAAAACTTATTGCTAATTCAATAAAGTGTGAATATAACAATGTTTATGTTGAACGATATAGAAGAAACATCCCCTTCCTCGAAGAGATCTACAAATGCATTTATGCCAGCCCTGAGAGACCTTCAAATGTTTTTACTCACATTTTGTTGGCAAAAATATAGCATCAGCTGTTGGTGACAAATCTCATGCCAAGAGAGATGGAAAAGGACTTAGTCACTCATGATGACATGCATCTCCTATACTTTCTACTTTCAAGGATTAAAGTTAATCTCCCTCTGACCATTTTCAACTTTTTGGAGAGAAAGATCATGGACTCTCACGAGAAAATGTCTTTCTTTATTCCATATGGAAGAGTTATTTCAAAACTCTTCTTTCAGGAAGGGATAGTTAGGAAAGTTCAAAATATGGGCTTAACTGATTCTCTTGTAACCACTTGGGCTTGAAGTTGGAAGTCGCTGATAGCCCTGAAGGTCAGAGGTAGAAGTCCAGAAAGATTTAATTTGGAGTTAGACCATATGCTAGTTATCCCTCTTCTTTTCCCAATCACCACCTTCTTTTTTTGTCTCTGATAATTTTTCCTCTGAACTGACTTTTCTTTTGTTATGCTTATCTTTTTCAGTACTTCTATGTAAGTTTTTTTAAAGTTAATGAAAAATTTCTTATCTTTTTCAATCAATATTATTTATTTGATTACCTATTTTTTGATTGATGACAAAGGAAAAGAAAAAGATATGATTTTGATTCATTTTTTTATCCATTGATAAATCCCAAACAATTGGACTAAATCCACTGATTAATTCATGAGATTATTGGGCTTCATTGAATTTTCTTGTAATAATCCAATCTAATTTCGATAATGCTTAATATTAATTTTAGGGATCAATATTATATGTTTGAAATTATAAGCTTGTTTGAAATTAAGAAGATTAATTAAGAAATTAGACTAAATGACATGGTTAGGAAAATAAGTATTTTGAAAATATATGGTAATTGAAGGACACAATTATCATTTTCTTTTAAGTTATTATTACTAGTAAGTTAGTAATCCTTAGAATGTGGTTAGGATAGAACTAGTGGCAAACTAGTAAATTCCACTTAGTTGAAGGGCAAATTAGTCCATTTTCCATGAAGAGCCTTCTTCTTAGTCCTCTACTTTACTTCTCTCATTATTTTGGATGAACAAATCAGAATTTAGAAGTAAGAAACTTGAGAGAGTGAAAGAGGGAGCATGGGAAAGGAAAAGAAGAAGAGGGAAAAAGGAGAAGTAAGACATGCATGTGGAATTTTTGAAGTCTTGGAAGTGAATCAAGCTTTGAAGTGCTACTCATATTCATCTACTCTCAAATTACATGTTGTTGAATTAAAAAGGTGAGTTCCATTAGTTAGATGGGATTTCAAGAATCTATTTTGGGATTGCATTATAGGAAAAAATTTGGGATTTTATGAGATTTTTCTTGAAAGCATCATTTTGTGAAATTGATTGATGATTCTTGTTTATTTGCGTGTATATGATTCCCTTGGCATGTTTAAATTGTTGTTTCTACCTTGTTGATTCATACATGATCAATTGCACATGTTTGATGTTAAATTTGGAGTGAAAAATCGTATTTTTTTGGATTGTTTGCTGTAAAAAACGCTAAAAATAAATTTTGGCTTATACCCATGGACTCTAGGAATTTGTAACAAATTGGCCGTGGGTAAAACTCAGTTATGGTTGATTCCCAGAACCCCTCATGACTTGCGCTATGTTCAACAAAAAAGGCCATAATTTGAGGTTTTTTACTCCGATCAACGCACGATCGGATGCGTTAAAAACCTAGATCGGATGCGTGATTGTTTGTGATGTGCTATAATCATGGAAACATGATGGTGTTAGAAGGAAAGTAATATTCAAGTTATGGAATATGTATGAATTTATGTCTTCTTTATTTAAACATGCTTATTTGATTGCAGACCATTCTCCTTGATATGAGATTGTTTTAACATGAAAATAATGATCAATCTAGTATATGCTTGAATGAAAATCCAAGGAATATGCATCATACAAACCTAATTGGTTTAGGAGTGAGTGTGAGCTATGATGAAATATCTTGCACTCAATTAATTCCCTAATCGGTCATAAGAACGTGTGAGTGTCTTATGATGAGAAATAGGTGTGCTTGTGGAAACACTTGGATACTCACTAGTAACAGGATGCGAGATGTGAAATTATCAAAGTAAAGAGAATATGTGTCCCCGGTTAGTGTACTGTAATGTTTCAGGTATTAATATAATGTGAAAAGCGACGTGAAACTCTAGGACCATAACTTGTTTAACTAAATCATTGTGAAAGCGTCAAATTGAATGGCTTAGGGACTAAGAAACCTTTCCCGCATAAGAAATCATAAAATAATAAGTCAGTGACTTGATTAATGGATAAATGATTGCATAAAGGATATTAAACAGTGAGTGAGAATCCCTAGGCTCATATGCTATCAGAAAATAGGAATTAATGTGAGAATTGAAATAATAATCTCTGTTATTACCTGGTACACCCTAATTCCGAGTTAACAGAATTAAGGGAGTGAAAGTTAGAAGTTTTCCTAATTAAGTATTACATAGTTCGAAATGTAGGAGAGTAAGACCCAAAAGTAAGAGGGTATTAGAACTCTGGATACCGTCTTGCTAGTCATGATCCTAAGAGAAGGGGTGGGTAGTTCCGGAAACCACCTTAATGGACATGACATTATAAAAAAAGGGGGAAGTAACTATCATAAAACCTTACCTTGAGGGCAGCGGGTTGTCGATTGTCAACAACGTTTGAAACACTAGTTGGGCTAGAGGTTCGTCAAAGGTTCGACGTGATAGATCTGTAGCTCTTATTGTTGTACGTGACTTGTACATTTAAGCTATTAGCTTATGCGTTATTATGAAGCTTATTATGCTTTGTTCCTTAAGTCCTACATAACAATATATGTGAGTGTTGTTGTGATGAAATTAAAGATAGTCTACCCTGTAGATCCAAGTGGACCTACAAGATAAGGGAACTCATTGATATTTAGTAATCTCACCCCAATCATATTGTTATTTTTTCAGGTGTGCTGTAGAAGTAGGAGGATTTACTATAGGACTTGAAGAGTGGGAGCCTTAATGTCAGATGGATATCCCTTCACTGTGTTTCCTATTTATCTTGTTCTAGGACATCCAATGTAATATTTTGTTTATATTATGTACATTTTTATAGTACTCTTGGATGTCAATTACTTTATATTGTTTTGGTATCAAAATGTAATGCTTACATAATATGATTCTAGGTAATATTATGTGGGGTGTTACATTTTTGCTAATTTAAATTTCTCCTAAGTCTTGAACTCAGGGGGAGCTTACATGTGAGTTTCGCTATACTCTTATGACTTTTTAGAGGGATTTCAACTTCGACATCCTCTGGTTCAAAAGCTCTCACCTCTCATTTTCCAAGGATTTCCTTGCTGATTATCAGACTCTTTTCTCTAAGCACATCTCAACCATTGTGAACATGAGGGATAATCTTTTACTGAGAGCGCTCATGTTACAGAATATCGAGCAAGAAATGGGAAACAAAGTTATAAAAGAGAAGGAGGTGAAGTTCTAGGAGCAGGAAAATGCTTATAATAAGAGCTAGAGGTTGTTGCAGTCCCTATAGAAAGATAAGGAAAAGTGGGATGAGAAAATGGTAGATGTAAAAGGCAAGGCGTAAGAAATATCTACTGATAAGGCATCTTTGCAAGAGCCCGTGGGTGCTACTCTCCTTTGTCATAAGGAGTTGTAAAAAGAGGTGCCATAGCTTATCAACGAGGCGATATCTACTTCTAGTGTTTACTTCGAGTGTGCTAAGCAGCATGTCCTCTTCTTCTACCCTGATCTGGATTTGCGCCCCCTGAACTTTCGGAAAAAAATTGTGGTGGCAAGTTGGTGGACGAGGATGATGTAGTTCCTCCTTAGCTTGGGAACCTCGTCTTTTTGGACCCTGTTCAGGGCTAGGGTGCATTGAAGGATGGCGACGATTCTAAGAATTCTCAGCCAGGCAGTGAGTCTAAGAGTTGGCGTTATATTTCTATTCTCTTTTTTGGGATTTTGTTGTACTTCTTCGCCCCTTCATGGGATTTTGCAAATGTAATGAAAATGGCTCCCCTTGAGGGTGCCTTTTATGTTAACCTCTTTTATAGTCTTCTGTGACTATCCTTGTTGTTTTTAGCTTTTTACCGTGTCTATTACTATGTCCCCTTTTCAATAATTTGATTTCTTGTGAGGGGATTTGTTGTACCCCAAAATTTTCTCTCTCTTTTCAAGACTTTTCTAGCAAGGATTTTCAAAAGTTCAAGTTTGTACAAGTACAATTAGATTTTTAATGCCCCATGGATCACATTGGGCTTTCAAGCACCAAATCGAAGAAAAGCAAGCTTGCTTCGATTTCCCAAGCTTCGAATGGACTTTGGCCTCTTTTTAGTTTGCTTCAATTTCCCAAGCTTCGACTGGACTTTGGCGTCCTTCAAGTTTTCTTTGATTTCCCAAGCTTCGACTGGAGTTTAGCCTCCTTCAAGTATTATTCGATTTCCCAAGCGTCCATTGGACTTTGGCTTCCTTCAAGCTTGCTTCGATTTCCCAGGCTTCGACTGGACTTTGGCCTCCTCAAGCTTGCTTCGATTTCATAAAGCTCCGACTGGACATTGGCTATCTTCATGTTTGCTTCGATTCACAAGACAAGGGTTTCTCTCATGCTTCGATTCACAAGGCAAGGGCTTCCCTCATGCTAGCAGCCACAAGGCAAGGACTTCTCTCATGCTAGAAGCCACAAGGCAATGACTTCCCTCATGCTAGCATCCACAAGGCAAGGGTTTCCCAAATGCTAGTATCCACAGGACTTTGGCTTCCTTCATGCTTGCTTCGATTCCACCTTTAAACCCTTCAACACACATAGTTTCTACACTATGACACACAACTGGTGGATTCGAAGAACATACAAAAGACCCATTCGAAGAACATGAATTTGGTGGCCCATTCGAAGAACATGAATTTGGTGGATTTGAAGAACCTACATTTGTTGGTCCATTCGAAGGACATACTATTGTTCCATTCGGAGGACTTACAATTGGTATTTTGTCTCCTGATAAGTCTGGTCAAAGGATGCTGAACAAAGTCCTATATGCTGCTAAGCCTGCTGTACTGCAATGAAGCAGTCCTGCACCATGCTGCCACGACACTTCAAAACTGCTGCAGAGAAGTCTTGCTATGCTGCTTCTAATTTGCACCAAACTAGTATATGAGAGCTGCACCTTGAAAGCTATGAAAACAACATACCCAAACAGTTCAAATTTCATTTGTCCCCCCCCCCCCCCCCCCCCAAATCTCAGCCAAACTCTTCAATAAATAAGATATTTCACAACACATCTAGGGGGGCTTTTAGTAGCTGGAGAGAGTTTTGTTGGCAAGACAAAGAAAGGAGAGAACACTTAAATACTCTTGAACCCAGAACCAAAGAAACACAACACTTCTTTTCTTTCGAATCTAGAAACAAAGAAATACAACACCTCTGTTTGTTCTCTCTTTCGAATTCCAGTTTCCCTATCCTTCAAACTCAGGTTCCTTCCTTCCTTCGAATTCAAGGATATACAGGGCAGCAACTCAAAGTCCAAAAACACTAACTCCAGATTCAAGTTAAGTTTTCCTAACTTTAAACCTTTCGTTTCAATCATGTAAGTAACCTTTTGTTTACTTTTCGTTTCTACCCTTTCGTTTATTTTCTTTTCTTGTCCAAATACATGTTACGAACTAACTTGTACAGACCATAAAAACAAAATTAGCATGGTTTCTCCTCATACTGCTTCATAGTCCCAAACGAAAGAAAAAAGGTTGTGTGAATCGAAGCCTTAGGCTTCGCCCCCATATTGCTTCATAGCCCCAAACAGAAAAAAAAAGGTTGTGTGAATTGAACGATGCAGGCTTTGAACACTCTGCTTCACAGTCTCAAACGAAAGGAAAAAGTTTGTCTGAATCGAAGGACATGTGCTTCGAATACTGTATGAATCGAAAGACTTACTCTTTCTCTCTTTTGCGCTATTTTTTTTTATCTTTATGTTTTCTATATATTTTCTTTCATTACTATTCAATATGATTGTAATAATTAGGACTTTTATTGCTTTCCAAACTCCATTTGTAAATGTGTATACCCCATCCCCAAAATATGTAATAGAGTAGGACATTTATTTTTCTGTAATTTACCGTTTTTATATAAAATGCTAGTAATTAGGTTGTGTATGGCAAGAGTTAAAATCAACTCTTAGAAAATCCTAATTTCAAAGACAAAAATGCATGCCGTCAAACACACTATTCACACACGTGCACCTCTAGGGTAATCTCATTTGTTGCCTCGAAAAATAGTCATGTCCCCCGAATATGGGCGTTTTAGCAAAGACACTGGATAAAAAGATCGTAGTCCCTCGATGTTGCCTTCGGTAAACAATCTAGTCCCTTACGAAAATTGCTAAAATGTCTCATAAGTTGCTGTCTATGACTATACGATAATCCATACCCGTCCTTTCACATCCAAGGATGGGGCTTTTTACCAAATCAATGGTAAGGTAGCAACATCTAAAGGAGGAGGAAAAGAACATAGACCTTTTGAGTAGATAGGACGCTCGTAGTTGCTTGCTCCCAAACTAAACCATTTTCACACTTACACTTTCAAAATATCTTCAAAAATAAACATCTCTTTGAACTATTTTCAAAACCAACACTTTGTATGCATTATTTTAGAGACGAGAATCATTACAAAGTTTGCCGAAACAAAGGCATTTTGCAAAATATTTTCAAAATTACACCATAAAGCATATCTTCAAACAAAGCATTTTTTGATCTAGCAGGAAAATAAGAGCCCATAGATAACTAAGGATGAAAAGGGTACTAACACCTTCCCTTTTCATAACCTACCCCCCGAAATCAAGAAAATATCTCAAAGGTCTTTCCTATTCTTTTCACCCTTTCCTTTATTGGATAAAAGAAAAGTCGGTGATGACTCTTGCTATCCACAACAATTGCGATTAAACGAAAAACCCCCAAGTCAGTTCTCCTACCATATTACAAAACTGGTGACTCTGTTGGGGACATACTAAAAAGTGGGGTTACCTTAGAGCTAGATCATATTTACTTGCTTTCCTTGTTTGACTTGCTTGCTTTATATTATGGGTCCTTGATTGGGTTATTGTTAAAGATCCTACACCTGGATCTGGGGCATCTTTTAGGTAAGTAGTAATAGGTCGTGGAGACTGTGCGGGGTATACCGACATGGTTGAAGGATAACTACATTAGTGTGATACATTTGTTGGTACCGGTAGCCCTTGAGTAGTCAAGGAGAATACGGGGCCGTTGCATGGTGTCATGAAGCACTAACTGACCTTAAAACCTTTAATTGAACATCTCGGACATTATGAAGTAGTGAGATAGCCGGATTTGGTTTCAACCGAAGATTGGTTGATACTCGATGCTACACTCATTGAGATCGGACTTTCGTGATATTTCAGTCGTCAATAAAGAGGCTTGCGCTGAAACAATGCCCGATGAAGAAAGATCAGTGATATTGAGATCCCCTATAACCTGGTTACTTTCTAGGATAGGTTAAACCAACTAAACTTCAAGAGGGTACTTACCTATAAAACTCCATGCGAGCCTAAACCTAAGGACTTGTCTGCTTTATGTGTATATGATTATTTGTACATAAAGACTTGTTTCCTTTGCTCACTTGTACATAACATCATAACATCATAACATCATACCATATCATTTCCACTAACTATTTCAAGGATCTCAAGGGTATGTGATGCAGGGACATGATGAACCAGACGTTCATCAAGGGGCAAGAGGATTTATTCTTCTCTAACTAAACACCGTCAAAGACCAAGGCATGATAACTTGAGTCAAGGGCTATGACCCACTTGACATGGTGAGCTTGTTTCTCGTGGAAGGATATTTAATGATACAAAGTTCTCCAATCAAAACTATGATCAAAGTTCAACTTCTAACATCTTCTTGTGTTTACCCCGCGAGATCCTTGAAAATATTGCATCCACATATCATGCATCACATCATGACAGGTTTTCCCCACACAGGTTTCTCATCTGCTTACTGTTTATTTCACAAGAGATGGATCTAGAGCAAACAGTGAAGGATATTCAAACACAAAATGCTCAATTATAACAGATGTTCCTGGCTCTGGCTAAGGGACAAGAGGACCTAAAGAATCTCATCCTCAAAGACAAGAAGAAAAAGACAAAGAAACCAGTGGGTGTCCTGAACATGGGAATGAGACTTAGAGGACCAGCAAAGCGAGCTCTAGAATTCAAAAATCCGTCAACTAAGGGGGACAACCAGGAGGAGAAGACAAAAGAAGGGGACCACAGTCTAGGGTCTGATGAAGAAGAGGCTGATTACGCTGAAGAATAGTATCCTCCTACGGACGACAAATACAAATAGATGGAGGATCGTCTCAACGCCATGGAAGTTCAGAGGGTACCTGGTCTGGATTTTGAAGAATTGGGTTTGGTTTCTGGAGTGGTCATCCCATCGAGATTCAAGATCCCTTCTTTTGCCAAGTATGATGGGGTCTCTTGTCCTAAGATGCATCTGATATCTTATGTCCGCAACATTCAGCCACATAACACTGATCAAAAGCTCTGGGTCCATTTCTTCCAAGATAGTCTAACTGGGACTCAACTTGAATGGTTCTATCAATTGGAAGGTTCTCGCATCCACACCTGGGAGGATCTAGCTGCTGCTTTCTAGAAGAAGTACCAATACAACGCTGATCTTGTGCCAACTCGCGTGTAGTTGCAGAATATGACCATGGGTTCCAACGAGGGCTTCAAAGAATACGCCCAAAAGTGAGAGACTTGGCTGGTAGGGTGCAGCCACCCTTAAATGACAGGGAGCTGATTGATATCTTTATGGGAACTTTGTCAGGCCCATTTTTCAACCATGTAATCAGAAGCTCTTCAG